TGTGTGTGTGTGTGTGTGTGTGTGTGAGTGTTTGTGTTTGTGTGTGTGCGTATGCGTGCGTGTGTGTGTGTGTGTGTGTGTGTGTGTGTGTGTGAATGAACTCACTCTCCTGTCCGGTGGAGTTGAGGTGCTCCAGCAGGTCACATCCAAACACTTTGTCCCGACTGCCTCCTTTTCTCCGGCCTCTCCTCATCTTGCTATTCCTTCACCTCCTCTCTAACATCCAGGCCTTGTTTGTGTGTGTGTGTGTGTGTGTGTGTGTGTGAGCTGATCTAATGAGTGTGTGTGTGAATCAGTGAAGTTAAAGCTCACATGACGGCTGCTGTAGAATATCTGACAGTATTATATGAGTGTAAGGAACGTCTCATGCACTGATGTTCACTGATCAACTACATCGTGCGTCACTGCTTGATGGAACAGATGCTTCATATGCAGAGATATGAAATATATCTATATAAAAAAAGAAACAAACAATATACAAGCCTTAACATTCAGAATAACAACAATTCTGTGCTCATTCTTCGTGACTGTCACGTTAGCGTGTGTGTGTGTGTGTGTGTGTGTGTGAGCTGATCTAATGAGTGTGTGTGTGAATCAGTGAAGTTAAAGCTCACATGACGGCTGCTGTAGAATATCTGACAGTATTATATGAGTGTAAGGAACGTCTCATGCACTGATGTTCACTGATCAACTACATCGTGCGTCACTGCTTGATGGAACAGATGCTTCATATGCAGAGATATGAAATATATCTATATAAAAAAAGAAACAAACAATATACAAGCCTTAACATTCAGAATAACAACAATTCTGTGCTCATTCTTAAAAATAAAGGTTGTTGAAGGTTTTGAGTTGCTTTATAGTTCTCTGTAGGCTAATACATTTCTATAATATCTCATTATAGATCCTTGTTGGTGTTTTGATTTAAATTCTCACAAGATTAAATGATCTGAGATGATCCACATTCATTTTAAGCTCTACACTCTCACTCGTTGCAAAAAATGATGTTCTTCCTCAGTATCTTTGCCTTGTTTTCCTCTACAAATATCTAAACATTATTAAATCAAGATACATTTATTTGAGATGCAAAATGACATGATAATGAGTCTTCTTTATGCTTAAAACAAGCACAATTATCAGCCAATGCAAGAAAACCACCATCATTCATTTTCAAATTTTTTACAGTATATATATATATATATATATATATACATACAGTATATATTCAATCTTCCTTATTTTTTTTTTAAGTATTTCAGACTTTCTCACTGAATCGAAGTACGAAGAAAGATAAAATAAAGTAGAAAGAAATAGTAAAGAAAGGTTTACATTCCACCAAAATTACCATATTCACAAGCTCAGAAAACTGGTTATTCAAAATATTCCTAAAAAGCATCCCATCTCCTAAAACTAAGGAATGGCTATTTCTAATTTTCATTGAAATTGAATTAAAAAAACACAATCACAGTGGTAGAAAACAACTGACGTCATTTTGCGCCTCAAGTAAATGTAGTTGATTTGAAATCAATATTGATGTGTAATTGCTTAGCCGACACATTAAACTCCATTGAGTCGCCTGAATTATGAAACTGCATAAAGCTCTGGGTTCACAACCACAGGAAACACAAAAAGCACAGCAGAAATGCAAGAAGGAAACGCAAAAACAGGACAACGACTAAACGGAGAGCAAATGAGACGAACCATGACAAATGCATTTAACATTTTGCTTGCTGAAGCTCGACAGAAGTTCTGGTAAAGCACCGCAGAGCTTCACATCTCCAGCAGACCTCAGTGCCAGCGCTTCCTCTTCTGACTTTCTGAGTTTTGCACCAGTTGAAGGCCACACCCTCACGCTTTCTACACACTCTTCATATCTTTCCAGAAGAAACCGAGAAGATCGATTCAAATCCTGCTACGCTTCTGAAGCCTCCGACAGCTTGTGAAGGTTTTGCATCACGTTCATCTGTGTTTTTCAGCGAGTTTGTTCCTCTCTGGTGCTCTTGCGGAAATGACTGATCAGATCTGAAGGCCACGAGTGCTTTATGCTCGCATCATCAAATAAACCCAGGCCTTTTCCCCCCCGATAACATCCTATGAGCGTACGATCCGGCATCTTTACAAGCAAGCCTGAATGAAGAACTGAGACGAGAAACGTAGAGAAGAATAGAGAAAAGCCTCCAGTTGTTTTTTTCCTGCCCGCTAAACCCCGCCCATTCTGTCACCGTCCTGTCATTCTATCAGTTTATTGGTTTTCGGGTTTTTTTGAGGAAATGTGTATATTTAAAACATGACGCAAGAAACCACTAAACTTCCCTCAGTGACTTCCTGAGTCTTTACTTTCTGTCTTGATTCTCCATTTCTAATATACGCCTTTATCTCGACCTGGTGTCTGCATTCATCCATCTGTGAAGCATCAGGCCAATGTTATTCCCCAGCCTAAGACAGATGGACATCAGGACACAAAACTGTGAAAAACACCACATTTAATATAACTAAGATTACGTTTACATTACAAAGCATCTTGCAAATGAGGAAAATCACATGCACTTTGTCATAAAGGCCGGTCATATTAATAGATAAGCTACAGCAGAACACTTACCATGGTATTTTCATGGTGCTCCTAACATGGTAAATGTCCAAGAAAGCATGCCATTTCTGTTGCATCTTGCTGAAAAACAAAACAAACTATACTGTACCCAAAAAAAAACACATATTATATGATTGCTTTTACGTTTATGCATTTAAGCATCTTGCAAATGAGGAAAATCACATGCAATTTGTCATGAAAGGCAATGATATTCATAGTGCACAAGTGTACGAACTATATTAATGCATAAGCTGGAGCAGAACTAGGTGATATTGAAGGATTACCATATTCATTACCATGGTATTTTCATGGTATTCCAGGGTTCTTCAAAAAACTGCATTGTCCTAACATGGTAAATGTTTAAGAAAACATGGCATTTCATTGTATCGTGTGGTAAAACAAAACCAAACCAACCAAAATAGGTATTTCTTTGGTACTATGTCCAAAAAACCAATAGTACTTTAATATATACATATATGTATATATCATGGTAGTAAAAAGCATTATTCGAACATGGCAAATGTCCAAGAAAACATGACATTTCCATTGCAACATGTTGAAATCAGAAAAATTAGTATTCCTATAGTACTATATACAAGAGTATTTTCATATATGCACCTATACCATAGTACAGAATGATTATTTATCTGATAAACCATATCAAAGCATTCAAAGGTAGCATGTATGCATGCACAAAAAAAATTAAATACCAAATAAAAACATGGTATTTCATATAACCGTGATAGAGCTATAATGATAGATAATTTTGCGTGTTATTGCAAATATGCATTCCTATGTGCATGTAAAATGGTTTCAATGTCAAGTAAAGCTTTCGAGTTAGTTAGAGAATACTTTTATTTGCGTGTGTAATAACTGTAGCTTTGATATAAAAACTTACCTCACATAAGCACTTTTAAGTTCAATAAAAAAGTGTGTAGCAGCCACTGAGAGACAGATTATTGGCTATTAATCTAGTATATTTACGGTATGGTGTCCGGAAGCGAGTGTTTTCTGCTGTTTTCCACCAGGAGGCGCTTTGGGGCCCACAACGCCGATCCTACTTTGACACGCATTCAAATCTGACGTGTTTAGAACGTATAAATATATTATATATGTAAAAGTCAAAGACTGGAATTTGATATTTCCAGTGCATAATATTTACACCTAGGCTATATAAGGACACCACGGACAGCTTACAAACAATAAAAAAATAAGAGAAATAAAAAAAAAAAGATAATTATTTCCTGCCCGCTAAACCCCGCCCATTCTGTCATCGTCCTGTCATTCTATCAGTTTATTCGTTTTCTTTGAGGATATATGTGGATTTTTTAAACCGCTGGACGTGGCGATCTAGCTCTTTAGGGTGTATTTTCGAAGCACATTCGGCACTGGACGGTTTTTAATATATAAAGCCCGTGGTTTTGATTAGCGATCATGTCGTACTGCTCGTTCCAGGCGCAGCTGGTGTCCTTCATGGAGATCGCGGCCAAAGCGGCGGAAGCGGAGATCAAGCGGCGCGTGGAGGAGAGCTGCGCGGTCATCAGACTGGAGCTCAGCCGCAGCCGCAGAGACATCGAGGCGCTCAAGAGGAAATGCGTGCTGATGGACAGCGAGCTGAGGAGGGCCAGAGGACGGGGCAGGAGGACAGGTCAGAGGTCATCACTGCCCATACACAGAAGTACTATAGTCATACCATAATACTACTATATTGATGCACCATGGTATTTCCAAATGTACTGCAAGGAATAGCATCCTACTACTACCATGCACCATAAGACCATAACTATGACATCATCTATAGGAAGGAATAAATACAAAATAAGGATTCTAGTGCAGACTGACTAATGCAGATCTGCATGTAGTATGACTATTATGAATTGAATAAAGAGTTGAGCAGATGTGTAATGTGTTTCAGTGTGGTTCAAGACGCCGAGAGACGCCGCCGTGCCTGCGATCAGAGATCAAGACCAGAATCCAGATCAGACCAGATCAGATCAGGTGACGCACACAAACTCAGAGGAGCTTTCTGATGTTATCTCACCCGGAAACATCAGGACATTTTCATAATCATAATTTCAAGGCTTGGAAGAGTCACAGAGAGACAAATTTTGCGCAGCTGCAAAAAAAAACACCATAAGTTACGAAAATCTTTGCTTTTAGAAGTTTTTTTTATATTTAAGGGTCAAAGACGAAAAAGGGTTGAAGCATAAAAACAATTAAGTGTAATGCTGCTTTAAATTGTTGTTGTTTTTCCCAAAAAAATTTAAAAGATTTCTGTTTAATTTAATTGCAATTTTGTTTTTGTTTTTCTGAGCAACAAATAAATATCATACATTTTCCCCTGATTTACAGAAAATGCCATTCAGTGTAACAATCTTGTCAGGCATATTTACAACAAAAATCAACTTATGACATATTAAAAGACTAATTACTTTCTCCCCAAATACTAATTAGTTGTAATTTTACATTTTTTTAAATGTGCCACTATCCTAGGTTTTGCCCATTTGTCAGGAAGAATTTTTACTCATTTAAAACACAATAAAATTTAATATGCTCTTATTCTTTTATATATTTTAATATGTACAGGTCAGAATAAGCATGTTGTTTGAATTTTTACACAAATATTGTGTTACACTGAATAACAATGTAACATTATTTCAACCAAATCTTGACATTTTATTCTCTAAAAACTTATTTGAAACCTTAAAAGTAGACACTTTACTTACATTTAATGTGCTTTCTATGTCATATAATCACTTTTGTAAATTTCTTTTGATGCGGATCTTACTGTCTTTGACCTATATATATTTTAATTTAATAATAATAATTTATTTTATTTATTATTATATATATATATTTTATTTGTATTTTTGTGTGTGTTATTATTATTATTATTGTAGACAGTTAAACATAAAATCTATTTAAAAATATATATATTTTTGGTTTAATCATTGATAAACCTCAACAGACTTTAGTTTTCAGCTGGTTCTTGTGTTTGATTAATCGGACTGAATTGAAACACTGATGTGTGTTGGTGTGTTTTGTAGTCTGTCTGTTCGCTGGAGGAGGGAATCAGATCTCCAGTGATTAAACAAGAGCGACAGGAACAGGAATCCGGCAGCGGTGCACGAGGTACGATCACATCTGACACTAGAAAACTAAACTTCAGATGAATCCTGATACGACAGAACAAACGCAGAGATACACTGATGCTCGGACCCTGTTTGAATATCTTCTGTGGAAGCTGCAGAATGTTTTATACTTTTCTTGTTTAGCGTTTAACTCAACTCTGCGATTAAAGAAAGTCATACAGGTTTGGAACAACATGAGGGTGAATAAATAAAACATTTCATGAACACTTAGCCTTGTGCAAAAAGAAGTGCACTTAATTGTGTGTACTTAAAATCATAAAATTATATTTAAAAACTGTACTTGCAGGCAGTGTTGGGGGTAACGCATTACAAGTAACACGAGTTACGTAGATTACTTTTTTCAAGTAACTAGTAAAGTAAGTAAATGCAACAGTACCCTTGAATCATATTTCAAAGACAATAGAATTATAAAATGACATAAAATGTACCTAAACCTATTTAAGTGTTGAAAAGCACTCTTAAGCGTAACTAATTGCATTTAATACCATTAAAATCTATAATACATTTTAATTGAATTGTAAATAACATGAAATTAAGTGTCCAAAAACATTATTCATTATTCATTTCACTATTATAATCTTTTAAATTATATTATTTCCGTAATAAGTATTCTTTTTAAAAGGTGCTCTTTTTTAAAGTATGCTAAAGTGACATTACAGTATATTTTACTTTAACATAAATGCTTGTCAGTACATTCAGCAGTCCACTTTATCCATATTTCATAGACAACAGAAACCTGAAATAACATAAAAAGATGTACTTAAGTCCTACTTAAGTGGGTCCTACTCAAGATAAATAAATAAATACTCTAAAGTTCAGCTAATTGCATTTAATATACATTTAAACTACTGTATAATACATTTTCATTTAAGAACAATTAATATGCAAAAACATTACATCCAGTTTGCACTTTAGAATATTACATTAAAGTATATGATATTCATATTAATTACTCTTTTTAAAAATAAACTAAAGTGTACTTCTTGTACTTTCACAAGGAAACATATGTACAGTTTTACAGCACTACACATTATGTACTTCCCCAAGCCATGGTTTTTTAGTTACTTTTTTATGGAGTAACGCAACATTGTAACGCATTACTTTTAAAAGTAACTTTCCCCAACACTGCTTGCAGGTAATATAATATTATTTAAATAAGTATATTTAAAGAGTTTACTTTCATGACTTAAGGACACTTTTAAAAAGTACATTTTTTGTAATAGTGTCAGATTAAAAGTTTTACTTTAAAGCACAATTTAAATCGTTATGTTTTAATCTTTTGTCGTGTTTTAAAGAAGTACACTTATTTTGATGTGTTGACTAACATACTAAAGCAAATGTAAAGCACTTTATTATAATTTTAACGTTAGTGTGTCATTCAATATTATATTTAATGTTAATATATTTTAAATGTACTAAGCTGCAACTTCATCATTACAAATGTGTATTTAAATGTATTTTAATTACATGAAGAAGTGTACTATACAGTATGTACTAATTATAATTTGTAATTTGTGGTATTCAGTGTTACATTTTAAGTATTATGTTCAGATATTTTAAATGTACGTTATTGCAACATCATTACAAATATGTTTAAATACATGACATACAAGTTTTAATAGAAATTACATTAAAGTATATTTTAGTTAACTAAATATTAGTAACACTTTAACAATATTTCATGGACGTTAGAAGTAATTATGAAATTACATAAAGATGAACTTAAGTCCTACTTAAGTGGATCAAAAAACCTAAATGTAAACTATAATACATTTTCTTAAAATGCAGTTATATGTCCAAGAACATTACATTAATTTGCACTTAATTATATATATATATATATATATATATATATATACACACATATATATAAATAAATACTCTAAAGTTCAGCTAATTGCATTTAATATACATTTAAACTACTGTATAATACATTTTCATTAACTGTAAATAACATGCAGTTAAGTGTCTGAAAACATTACATTCAGTTCGCACTTAAGTATATTCTTTTAAAATATATTATTTCCGTAATGAGTGCTCTTTTTAAAAGTATGCTAAAGCGACATTAAAGCATATTTTAGTTTATCATAAATTTTGTTTACGCTTGTCAGTTTAACCATTTAATAGACCCTAAAATTAATTATGAAATTACTTATAAAGTTGTACTTAAGTGGTAGTGGGTCAAAAGCACTCTAAAGTTCAACTAATTGCATTTAATATAAATTTAAACTTCAATACATGTTAATTTAATTGCAATTAACATGCAATCAAGTGTCTGAAATCATTACATTCAGTTTACGCTTAAGAATGTTCTTTTACAGTATATTATTTATGTAATAAGTGTTATTTTTTAAAGTATGCTAAAGTGACATTAAAGTATATTACAGTATATTTTAGTTTATCATAAATGCTTGTCAGTACGTTCAGCAGTCCACTTTTCATAGACAATAGAATTAATTATTGTTTTACAGACAGGGCTTAGGTTAAGCCATGATTAGGCCATAGTTCACAAAGACATTTAAGTAGCTTAAAAAAACATTACTGGTGTGCATCTTAAGACAAAACATATTTTAAGATAAAGTTAAAACAGCCCAGACATGCATTTTAGTCTGAGACTAGGCTTAAGCCTTGTCTATGAAACCGGGGGGAAAAGATTAACTTAAGTCCCACTTAAGTAATTCAGTTTACGCTTAAGAATGTTCTTTTACAGTATATTATTTATGTAATAAGTGTTATTTTTTAAAGTATGCTAAAGTGACATTAAAGTATATTACAGTATATTTTAGTTTATCATAAATGCTTGTCAGTACGTTCAGCAGTCCACTTTTCATAGACAATAGAATTAATTATTGTTTTACAGACAGGGCTTAGGTTAAGCCATGATTAGGCCATAGTTCACAAAGACATTTAAGTAGCTTAAAAAAACATTACTGGTGTGCATCTTAAGACAAAACATATTTTAAGATAAAGTTAAAACAGCCCAGACATGCATTTTAGTCTGAGACTAGGCTTAAGCCTTGTCTATGAAACCGGGGGGAGGGAAAGATTAACTTAAGTCCCACTTAAGTAGGTAAATTAAAAACACTCTTAAGTTCAACTAATTGCTTTTAATCTACATTTAAACTATAATGCATTATCATTTAATTGCAATTAAAGTGTCATTAAGTTCACACTTAAGTATATTATTTTAAAGTCTATTAATTTTATGATAAGTACTCTTTCTGCTTTAACACACAGGGAATCGTCCCTTCGATCACGAGCAGCAGAACATCCAGCAGATCCAAGCTCAGGAGAACATGGAGAACCAAAAACCACTGTTAGGAGCTTCAGAGATCCAAAACACACATTCACAGACGGCCACAGAGCGTCTGAGCGGTCTGGGACTCCAGCTTAAAGCCGAGAAGGACGATGAGGAACCGAGAGTCCACCCGAGGTTTGCTCAGCTGTGGACGACGGTCCCTGAAACAACCGCTGAAGACACAGAACGGACGTTTCCAACGTCACGAAACACGGCGGTCTTCAGCACAGGAGCATCCAGAGACAATCTGCATCCCGTGGAGACACAAATGGAGCTGTATGAGCCTGAACAGATCAATGCAAACGATCAGATGACGAGCGCAGTAGTCGACTCGGTTCCAGCGTTCAGTCACGGGCCGCCCGCGAGCGTGGAGAAGCGCTTCAGCTGCTCGTACTGCGAGAAGAGCTTCAGTCGGTTCAGTCAGCTGAAGGAGCATCTGCGCTGTCACACGGGCGAGAAGCCCTTCGCCTGCGCTCAGTGCGGCCGCAGCTTCACCAAACACTGCAATCTGACCCGGCACGCCGTGGTGCACAGCGGAGAGAAGCCGTACCAGTGTGGCCAGTGCGGGAAACGCTTCACGCAGCGCTCCAGTCTGAAGTGTCATCAGAGGACGCACTCGAGCGCGTGGGATCACAGCTGACGGCGGCCTGACCTTCAGCAGAACGGCTGCAGACACATCTGCTGATTCACTGTAAAACACACAGAGGAACTTTTTTTGTCATGTTAACATGTTGCAATGCACTTTTTACACTTTCAAATTGTATTTTCATATTGTATCGAGTAAGGTGTTTTCTGCGCAATTTGTTAATTTATGATTTGTCTGCATGATTGAATAAAACAAATTCTAAGAAGTGGTTCAACTGTTACAGTTTGGTATTATCTAGTAAATTGGACTCGATTTTAATTTTCTTAATGATTTAACATTTAACATGAAAACAACTAAAAGCTTTCTAAAATGAAAACTTTTTTCCATTTGTATTTTTGAATTGATATTTGTTTTTGGCACTTCTAGAACATAATGCCATGTGTTTGACCTTCAACATTTCAAATATTTAAATAAATAAAATATAACTAATTTATTATAAATGCTACAAATGTATAAATTATTATAGAAGTATTATAAATAATTATATAAAATATATTATAAAATAAATGAAACATTAAAATAACATTTTTAAATAACTTATTTTTGAATTAATATTGACCTTCAACATTAAATATTAAAATAAAATAAATAAATTAAATATATATATT